TGGAGTAATGCTGATGGAAATTCAGCTTTGCATCACAGAAATAAATTACATTCTAAAGGATATTAAAATAGAAACTATTATTTTATATTGTAATAACATTTTGCAAGATTACAGTTTTTTTTCTGTGTTTTTGATCAAATAAATGCAGCCTTGATGAGCATAAGAGACTTCTTTAAAAAACATTACAAGTCTTACTGATCCCAAACGTTTGAACGGTAGTGTACACTGCAGTTCAGAAGTATGGGGTCTGTTTTTAGATTGTGTTTTTTGAAAGAATTAATACTTTTACTCAGCAATGATGCATTAAATTTATCAAAAGTGTCAGTAAAGACATTTATAATGTTACAAAAGATTTCGGTTTCAAATAAATGCTGTTCATTTGAACTCTCTATGCATCAAAGAATCCTGAGAAATTGTATCACAGTTTCCACAAAAATATTCAGCAGCACAACTGTTTTCAACATTGATAATAATAGAAATATTTCTTGAGCACAAATCAGCATATTAGAATGATTTCTGAAGGATCGTGTGACACTGAAGACTGGAGAAATGATGCTGAAAATTCAGCTTTACATCACAGAAATAAATTATTTTTAAAGTATTTTGAAGTAGAATAATATGTAACAATATTAGTGTTTTTACTGTATTTTTAAACAAATTAATGCAGCCTCTGTGAGCATAAGAGACTTCTTTCAAAAACTTACTGACCCCAAACTTTTGAATGCTGGTGTAAATTTGTCTATATATGAATTTCTTTTTATTTAAAAAAATTGGTTCGGTCAAAATAGTGAAGGAAAAGGACATATAAGAGTTTTCCCATGCACTAACTTCATTGATTTGTTTCTCACAGGAAAATCTGCCTTCTGTGTAACCGGACGACTTCCTCCACAGATATCGAGGTAAAAAAAAGTGGTGTTTGACTCAGTCTTTCCGGATTATGATAAAAGCAGTGATAGCTGAATCTGTTTATCCGTGTGTGTGTGTGTGTGTAGGTTGCGCTGCAGGTGTTAGACGCGGTGGTGTGTTATAACTGCCTGCCCTCCGACTCTCTGACGGTGTTCATCATCACACTGTGCCGAACCGTTAACGTGAAGGAGTTCTGTGAATCCTGCTGGAAGGTACACAGAGAAGTATTCAGCCGAGTTTAATATTTCACATTTATGGTGCGGTTCATAAGCATGCTTTGACCTCTCTGTTGTTGTTTTTGTCTGGTTGTGTGTCTAGTTGATGCGTAAAGTGCTGGGAACTCACCTGGGTCACAGTGCCATATACACCATGTGCCGTATCATGGAGGAGAGGTACACACTGACTTATAACGACAGAAGACAGATTTGTGATTGGTTAGAGAGTCAATAGGCTATAAATATAATAATAATAATAATAATAACAGTAGGTATATACTTGAAAAAAATACAAATATTTGTTAAATAAAAACATTTAAGCTTTTATATAAGGTAGATTTTCATTAGTATTTCCGAAAATAGAGCAAAAAAATGCTCTTTCGGTGTTCGGCTGAATAAGCGAAAAGACCGAATAAATTGTACCGAGCAATGACGTGACGTGATCAAATAGAGGCGCGCACTAATGCAGGAAACACGTCTGCAGTGTGGAAGCATTTAAAAGTGTCCGAGAAAGACTCAAAAATCATTACAAGCACCGACAGCGAGAGACTGTTTAGCACTGCATCTCATGTCTCCGATGAGAAGAGGAAGAGGTGGTTGTTGCTGGTTACTCTATGACAGTGGTTCTCAACCTTTTTTTCCACCGGGCCGCACTATGGTCCCAAGTGCAAGTCTCGCGGGCCGCACGCATATCATTTACATATTATGTCAGCAATACAAACCAACGTTAATTAGGCTATGTGAGTACTGCTCATGTCTGAAATAATATATGAAAAACAAAATTATTTTACATAAAAACATTAGGCTATAGCTTATATTTATTTAGTACATTTTTAAATTAATGTAAAAACTAAAATGAATTGTAAAACGGAAAGTATTTTTTAAAAATTGTGTTCAGCACGGTGGGCCGCATTTGAATTCGTGACGGGCCGCGGGTTGAGAACCACTGCTCTATGATGATTGAAATCGTGAAATGTAATGCCATGTAATGCCAATCGCAAAATTATATTAATATTTAAACTTTTAAACAAAGGCAAACATTTATTAGCATTTTTTTTGCTTTAGTATTGAAATTAGGATTGACAGTCATTGGTGTTGGCATGAACTGCTGAATTATTGTGATGTTGACAGATCTAGTGTTCTCAGTAGTGTGTATGGTGTGTGTGTGTCTGGTGTAGGGTGTACAGTGAGGACGCCGCTCTTCTCAGGGGTGCTGTGTTTTTTGTTGGTATGGCGCTGTGGGGAGCTCACAGACTTCCTGCCCTCAAAAACACGCCCACTCTGGTCCTGCCTTCCTTCTACAAGGTGTGTGCTAATTTGCCATCAGTTTGTGTTTTTAGAAATATATTATGAAACCTACTAGTGTTTGACCTCTGACCTCTGTGCCCAGGCCATGAGCTGCACGAATGAGGTGGTGTTCTATGAGATTGTGCTGTCGATCACGCGACTCATCAAGAAGTACGGCCGAGAGCTGCTCGTCGTGACATGGGACATCCTGCTGTCCATCATAGAGAAACTCCTGCAGCAGATACAGGTACACACAGGGTTTAAATTGGGCCGGGGCCGTCCGTACAGTTAGTTAGGCAACATCACACAACGTTTTCACCATTACGACGGTTTAATAGTTCTATAAACAGTTCAATAAGCAAATACAATAATATTAGGTTACTTACATTTTAGGCGGAAACAGCGCATCTCACAGCAACCAGCCGATTCATTGCTGATTGATTTCGTGTTTTGAACGAATCGGTTAAGTCAAAGTTTCATTAGCCCACGCATAAACATCTGATGAATCTGCTGTTTGAACGAATCGTTTGAATGAACGACTCAAAGCCTAAAAGCCCTTGGATGAAATATAAAAAAACACGCAGATTTATATGTCACAGCTGATAGAAAACTGAAAATATTGCTTCAGAATAAATCATATTTGCAAAAAAACAAAACACACACACACATAAATATAATAGCTCGATACCATAGCAAGTCCCAATTTAACCCCTGGGTACACACAGACACGCACAGACACACACACACACAGACACGCGCACACACACACAGACACGCGCGCACAGACACACACACACACACGCACAGACACGCACACACACAGGACACACACACAGACAGACAGACAGACAGACAGACAGACACACACGCACACAGACACACACACACACACATACACACACACACACACTGAGATGTTTTATGGGTGTTTGTCTCCTGACGCTCTTCATATATGTGGTGTGTGCAGACGATGGGCAGTCCTGATCTGAAGGTGATCGTTTATGAGTTACTGAGCACCGTCGAGGAGCTGTACGAACAGAACGACTTCCACGGATCCTCGCAGAGATTCTTCAGCCTGGTGGAGAAGTGTGCTGATAAACGTCCCGTGAGTTTCCTCGCTCCCTGTCCATCTGTCCTCTTTTGAAGCTGTCTGGTTTGATTCACCCTTCTTGAATGTATTCATTTATTTAAATGTCGTATTAAAAGTTTAATTAAACCGTGTTATTACATTTATATTAAGTATATATTTATTTGAATTTATTATTAAAATTAAATTAAGTATAAATTAAGGATGATATTCAGACTGACTAAATTTGTTGTTAAATTAAATTAAAATTTATTATTTAATTTAAATGATGTATACATTTATTATTAAAATTAAATATACATTAAGGAGGATATTCAGAAATGTATGATTATATTTCATGAAAGTATAAATATATTTAAATGTATTAATACATTTAAATTAAAATGTATTATTAAATTTAAATGAAGTATAGATTTGTTGAAATTTATTATTAAAAGTAAGTTTAGTATAGATTGAGAATGTTCAGATTAACTAAATGTATTAAATTGAAAGAAAGTTAAAATGTGTTTTAAATTTATTTTGACATTAAAATCAAATTAAAATATAGCTGCAAGCAGCGATTCCGGGGCCAAGCCCGAGAAGGGCTGTAGCGCAGCGCAGAGCGGGAAGAAGAAAAACGGCAGAATTGGAACGTACATACAAAATAACAGATAGGTTCAGAAGTACAGAAGTTCAAAAACGGACAGAAGTTCAGATGAGAATGACCAAAAACACGCTTCTGATTCAATACGAACACACGGAAAATTGAATGTCTGGAACAGAAGCAACATTAGCCAGCTTGGATTCGAACCGACAACCTTAGGGGTTCAGGGCCAGAGGCTTAGCAGAGTGCGCCACTCAGTTGACGCACATTCAACAGGCTGCAGAAGAAGTGTTAAGTTGGGAGAAAAATCTCACAAAAGCGTGACTTAGCATTTTACACAAAAGCACAATTGACATCCTCAGATTCGGCATGACCCAAGGAATCCATAGACACCATGATAATGTTTTCTGACTAACTGTTCAAAAGTTATAAGCCAAAATGTGCATTTTTAGTATCTCACGACCCATAGGTGGCGCTGTTCCAAAATTTGGCATGGACTCTCAGATCTTGTTGTTGATGAAGCATACCAAGTTTGGTTTCGATTAATCAAAGTTTGGCCGAGATACAGCCTCTGAACCAATTTGGGTCGACCTTGTTAAGTTCGCAACATCATAACTTTTTTTTCCACTAGTAGTTAAAAAATTATGTTCAGTCATTTCTGTGCAGCTCAGTCCAAAGATCATATGAGCAAATTTTGGGAAGAATTGAACTAAATTTGTGAGAAGAGTAGCAAAAAAACTGTTTTTCATTTACTTCAATATGGCTGACAGACACCCTTTTGGAAAATTACAAATGAGACATCGTCAGAATCGGCATAACCCAGGGAACCAAATGACATAAAAATAAACAAATTTTGGACAACATTTAGCAAGAATCGTTATATCTCTGGAACAGTAGGTGGCGCTATCTTCAGACTTCCGAGGTACCTCCAGGACATGGTGTTGATGATCCTTACCAATTTTCGTGCAGATATGTCCAATGGTTCAAAAGATATGGCAATTTATGAGAAATTTCAAAATGGCGGACACGTGGTTGAGCCAATCCTGGCAAAATTGACATCCGCAGATTCGGCATGACCCAAGGAATCCATAGACACCAAGATAATACATTTACAACATCATAACTTTTGAAGAAAAATGAATAAAAAAAATGTGTTCAGTCAAGTCTGTGCAGGTCAGCCCAAAGATCATCTGAGCCAATTTTGGGAAGAATTGGATCAATTTTGAAGGAGTAGTAGGGAATAGACTATTTACTGTACTTTTCAAAATGGCCGCTACTGTAATGGGTGGAGTCTTAATGTAAGGTATTGAATGTGATCAGCATGATGAGTGGAATCAGGTGTACTAAGTTTAATTTTGCTAGAGTTAGGGGTTCAGGAGTTATTACCATTTTAATGTTGAATTTTTGAACTGGTGGTGGCGCTATAGAGTTGGTCCGAGAGTCCCCAAAGTTGGTCAGATCACTATTTATGGCCATCACTACAAGTGTGCCAAATTTCGTCATTGTCCTATGTTCCCTTCATAGGGCTACCATAGACTCCCATTGGCGAAGAAGAAGAAGAAGAAGAATAATAATAAAACATACGGATACAATAGGGGCTACAGCCCTTTGGGCTTAAATATACATTTATTTAAACTCATTATTAAAATTAAATTAAGTATAAATTAAGGAATATTCAGATTGACTCAATTTATTTAAATGTATTAAAATTTAATACATTTAAATTACAATGTATTATTACATTTAAATGAAGTATTTCTTTAAATTCATTATTAAAATTAAGTATAAATTAAAGAGGATATTCAGACTGAATTTATTTAATTGAAAAAAAGTGTAAATTTATTGCTAAATTTCATTTATACATTTCAATGAAGTATAGATTTATTTAAATGTATAATACAATTAAATTATGTATAAATGGAGGATATTATCATTGACTAAATGTATTATTCAGTGTAAAGGAAGAATATATGAAGAGTTCATTTGCAGAAACAGATAACTCTGTTTTTAACAATTTTCAAAAATCGTGTTTTTTCATTGTGCATTCCAATTAACCTCAATCAAACTGCAGTTGGGTTATTTTGATTAGGTTAAAAAATAACTAAAAAATACAGCTAACTAACACAATAAAACACAATAAAAACAAGATAACATAATAAATGAATTGCATTATTTTGGTTTGATGGGCTGTTGTTGAATCTGTCCTGTAGGATGCGTCTGTGCTGACGCTGATTTCCTACAGAGCTCAGTCCATTCAGCCGGCCAAAGACGGGTGGCTGCAGAACCTGCTCAAACTCACGGAGAAGTTCTTCAGGTCTGGATGATTCCTCATTTTCACTAAAGTCCCGTTTTAAACGAATCCTGGGAATAACACCTCTCTCTCTCTCTCTCTCTCTCTGTGTGTCAGGAATGAGAGCCGTACTGTGATCAGGATCAAGGTTCTGCACATCCTGTCCTTCGTGCTCAGCACAAACCGACAACTCTATGAAGTCAGTCCTAAAGCAGTCAGGCCTTTCCTTGTGTTCATGAGCTCGCTGTTGTTTGTCTTGATGGTCTGTGTTCTCTGTGACCAGGAGGAGCTGATCGAGGTGGTGGTGATTCCTCAGCTGGGTCAGATCGCTGAAGATCGAGATCTGTCCGTCAGGAAACAAGCCACGCAGCTGCTGGTGGATCTCGCCGAGGGCTGCAGCACGCATCACTTCAGCAGCCTGCTCGACATCATCGAGAAGGTAGCGCTGCTCGCTCATGATGTCACTGACGGAAGCGCAGGCATTCCATTTTTCTCCTGTTTGAAATTTCAATTTAAAATAAAAAAAAACGGAATTTTTCATGCGTAAGAGAATCTAGATATCCACCATTTCTGCAGGTCCTTTATATAGCCCTGAAATAGTTGATTTATTCAAGCATATCTAAGGGAATATTGAGTTGTTAAATGTGATAACTATAATTCTTAAGAATTTAATTTGATTTAACAAAAGCTTTTAAAACAAGATATAAATCATTCATCACTTCTTCCATTGGCTGCCTATTCCACAGAGACACAGGTCATTAACTGTTTAGCAGTAATTCAGCAGCCTTTGTATTCAAGAGAACAAAATAGTCACTTCCTGAGAAATTTGTGCAAAATAAAAATGTAAATGGAAGTTAAAGCCAATGTGGAAGCCATTGTGATTTTTATTTAATGTGATAAATGAGTTTACACTTATTTAAATGTGTTTATATATATATTTAGGCCTGGGCGATAAAACGGTATCGATATTTATCGACGGTACACCTTAATTTCTATTGCTCTGTTTTAAAAAAGGTTATAAAAAATGTCAATAATTATCGATACCAAACGATATGAAACATATATCGTTGATATTTTTTTTTAGCTATATTGCCCAGCCGTATATATATATATATATATATATGTGTGTGTGTGTGTGTGTGTGTGTGTATATATATATAATTATTATTAAATTACAATTAAAAAGTATAGAATTATTAAAATTTATTATTTAATCGATATGAAATATGTATTTTTAATATATTAATAAATATGAATAAAGCACAGATTAATAAGTAGTTTAAATGTGTTTCCATCGTAGTTTATGCCCAAATAAAAATGATCAAACTCAATTGAGCATAATTCTTTTCATTCACATTTAGAAAATTTCTTTAACATTTTGGTGTTTTTTTTTTTTTTTAAATCCAGCATTTTGATGTAAAATCCCCAAACAAGTGGACGAGACCTGATTTGTGTGAGTGAAAGTCTCCTGTGCTCCTGTAGGTTGCTAGTCGTCCGTTAACCTGCTCTGTGGAGGGAGAGAGAGAGCTGTCAGTGGAGTCACCCATGGAGGACGTCCGGACCGCTATACTGGGACTGCTAGACATCCTACAGGTACTACAGTACCTCTTCTGCTCGGTGCACTCATGATTACTCTCTCTAGCAGCTCCAGTGATGCTTTGTCTGTTTCCAGAGTAAACTGTACAGTCTGCCAGCCAGTCACGCCAGTCGAGTGTACGAGCTGCTGATTTCTCATCTGCAGCTTCACTACAAGAACAAATACTACAGTGCCACCGGGAGCTCCATACGCCTCAAGGTCAGGCTTTTGACTCCAGTTAGTCAGCAACACCATAGCAAACACCCTAGCAACCAAATACTCCGAATACGTAACCTTTTCAAATCACCTGGACTTCAGAAAAGGCAAGCATGTTGTTTTCTCTCATTGTTTGTGTGTCAGGTCTTTGATTTCTTGCTGATGATGAGGGCCGACTCTCTTCATCGTCTGGGTGTCCCCAATAAAGATGGAGTCCTGAGATTTAGCCCATACTGTCACTGTGACGTCGGGTAAGAACACAAGCATGTGTGTTTAGTGCTGTTTTCTTATTAAGCACACTTATTAAGGAGGATGTTAAATGATATCAAATTTAAATAGTGCTGTCAAACGATTAATTGCGATTAATCACATCCAAAATAAAAGTTCTTGTTTACATAATAAATGTGTGTGTACTATGTATATTTATTATGTGTATATATAAATACACACACATGCGTGTATATATTTAAGAAAAATTTTATTTTTATATATTAAATATATTTATTTATAATGTAAATTATATGAATATAAATATAGACGTAAATATTTTCAAAATATATACTGTATTTGTGTGTATTTATATATACATAATAAATATACACAGTACACACACATATATTATGCAAACAAAAACTTTTATTTTGGATGTGATTAATCGCGATTAATCATTTGACAGCACTAAATTTAAAGTATAAATGTATATAAATTTATTTAAAATTTAAATAAAAATGTTTTATTAAATTTAAATAAAGTGTGAATTGATTTACATTTATTATCAATATTAATTTAAGTATTAATTGTTAAGGAGGATATTTAGATTGACTAAATGTACTATTAAATTTAAATTGAACTAAAATGTCTTATTGAATTTAAAAGAAGTATTAATGTATGTAAATATATTATTAAATTAAGATTAAAAGAAGTATACATTTATTAACATTTTTTTAATAAGATTTAAATTAAAATGTATCCATTACATTTTAAAAAGTATAAATGTATTTACATTTTTATTTAAATTAAAATGTAACATTACACTTAAATGAAGTAAACATTCATTTAAATTTATTATTAAAATGACTAATATTAAAACTAAAAATTATTAAAGAGAATATTCAGATTGACTGAATTTATTAAATTTAAATGAAATATAAATACATTTAAAAATTTTGTTTTTATTAAATTAAAATGTATTACATTTAAATGAAGTATACATTTAATTCCATTTATTATTAATATTAAAGAGGATATTCAGATTATAATACTATATTTCTTATAAAATGTAAAGAAAGTATAAATATATTTAAATGTATTTTTAAATTAAATTAACATGTATTATTATATTTAAATGTATACATTTATTTACATTTGTCAAAATTAAGTATAAATTATTAAGTAGAACATTCAGACTGACTAAATCTCAAATGTCTGGTTTTCAGGGAGTCGGAGAAGAGAGTGACTGATAAGAAGCCAACAGGAACTGTGTCGCCGCCGACAGGAAGTCCCACACCAGCGGCTCCGCCCTCCTCCATTCGCACTGCCTATCTGCCCTACAGCCTGGCCTTCAGCGTGCTGCTACAGTGCCTCAAGATGGTACACAGACACACACAGCTCACATCCTCTTCCCTTTAAAATGATTGATGACACCATAGCATGTTCATGGTGTCATGGTACTGTATTTATGTACCATAGTTTTAACACGGTGCCCTGTGGTTTTGCATTCCTGGAACATACAGTTCAAATACAACACAATCTGTGTGCGCAAATATAACTACCGCGGTGTGAAAGGTAAAACATCAGCTCCTTGCTTCATTTGCAGGAGAATGACTGGAAGGTTCTGAAGCTGGTTCTGGATAAGATGTCCTGCACCATCCAGTACAAAGTTCTGGTCCTGACCTCACCCTGCAACATCGATCATCTGTGCTCCACTCTCTGCTCCATGGTAACACACACACACAGACACAGACGACACAGACACAGACAGACACACACACACACACACTTACAGTGATGGCCAAAATGATCAGAACACTAGTATTTTCAGCAGCGACATGAAGAAACAGAACAAACTGAAACAGACTAAATCCAGAAGAACTGTGGCTGTCTCCAAGATGCTTCAAGAGACCTCATGATCAGATCAGATCTCTGTGTGCAGCACTGGCTGTTGTCAGACTAAAAGCTCACTGGATTATTACAATTAATGGCAAAATGAATGTTTGGAAATGCAAACTGATAAGATAGATAGAAAAGATTTAGCTGGTGAAAATACTAGTGTTCTAATAATTTTGGCCAGCTCTGTACTACACAGTAACTCAGTGGAATAAGCTGTATGGAAGCGAGGTAATTTGGGAGAGTGTGTGTGTGTGTGTGTGTGCAGGTGACGGACCGTCTGATATCGGAGCGTTTGAAGAAAACTCCTGATGGATTCTCCCTCACTGATGTTCAGCTCGCTGCGGTTCCTGTTCTCACTGCCCTCACCTCCTACCACAGCTACCTGGAGCAGTCCCGACAGGTGACACAAACACATCTACCCCGCTATCCAGATCAGAGCAGAATATAAACATCAGTTTGTTTGTTTTAGAGTTTGTCAGATTTGATAAATTTTAGCTAGGGCTGTGTTCTAAACCCTAGTGATCTAGACAGTATCATAGGCACACTCCGAAGGCTGTTTGAAATAACAAGAAGCAAAACTGTGCTACCTTGTAAGTTACCTTAAGTTAAGTATGAATTTATTTAGGTGTATTATTACGTTTAAATTGAATGTACAATTATCGCATTTAAATTAAATATGAATTTATTGAAATGTGTTATTGTATTTACAATAAACATACAATTATACAAATGTATTATTACATTTTAATTAAATATAAATTTATTTACATGTGTTCTTTTATAATTCATTTATGTAAATGTTTAAATCAAATAAGTTTAACTTAAATTTATTACATTTAAATTAAACATGTTTATTCAAGTGTATTATTAAATTGAAATTAAGTATACAATTATGTACATGTATTATTACACTTAAAATAGTATACATTTATTAATAAATGTATTTGAATTTATTACATTTAAATTATAAATGTATTTAAACGTATTACATTTAAATTAAATATTTACATTATTTACATTTATTTAATTTAAAGTAAGTATACATTTAAACATTTAAATTAAATATTAATTTATTGTTACATTTAAAGCAAGTACACATATATTTAAATTTATCATATAAATTATATATAATTTATAATTATAATTTAAATTAAATATGTTTATTTAAATTTGTTGTTAAATTTGAATTAAGCAATCATTTTCTTAATGTGTTATTAAATTGAAACTAAATAAAAAATGTAAGTGTATTAATAAATTTAATGTAAGAATACATTTACTTGAATTTATTCTTACACTTTAATTAATGAATGAATCAGCCGGCAGCAGATCTAATCTCTGGAGGTGATAGCAGCCAATCATCTGATGCGCATCTAGGAATGTATTGGATAAATGTGTTGACAGCAGAGTTTTTCTTCACCTGTTTTCTCAGAGGGAGCTGGTCCAGTGTTTGGAGAAAGGCCTGATTTACCGCTGTGCTAAGCAGTGTGTGGTGGCTCTGACCATGTGCACCGTTGAGATGCCCGACATCATGATCAAACTCCTGCCCGCCCTCATCGTCAAGCTCACGCACATCTCGGCAACCGTTGCCATGGCCTCACCCATGCTGGAGTTCCTGTCCAGTGAGTGCAAGCCTTCAGTCGTGTTCCCCGCCCATTCTCACATTCTGACCAATCAGAGCCGCCCTACTCACTCTGACCAATCAGAATATAGCATACATTCTACATTGAGGATACAAGCACAGCAAAACGACACCTGTGGATCATATACAGCAGCTCAAGTACTGATGCTTTTTGTCTCATCTCTCTCTCTCAGCATTGGTGCGGCTCCCACATCTGTATGCTAACTTTGTAGCCGAGCAGTACGTCAGCGTGTTTGCCATATCGCTGCCGTACACCAACCCCTCAAAGTGAGTGAGCTCATACACACCTGTGAACTCACACATACAGAATATGTAGCCAACGTTTGCCTTCATTAGCTATTTGACTACTTGATGTTCATTTTGTTCATAATGTTACAAGAGATTTCTATTTCAAATAAATGCCGTCCTTTTGAACTTTTTAGTTCATCAAAGACTTCTTCAAAGAGTTTCCACAAAAATATGAAGCAGAGCAGCACAACTGTTTTCAACACTGATGATAATGTTTCCTTAAACAGCAAATCAGCATATTAGAATGATTTCTGAAGGATCATGTGACACTGAAGACTGGAGTAATGATGCTGAAAATTCAGCTTTACATCAAAGGAATAAATTACATTTTAACATATATTCAAATAGAGAACAGTTACTTTAAACTGTAATAATATTTCACAATGTTACTGATTTTATTGTGTTTTTTAATCAAATAAATTATCTTAAATTATGTGGTTTAATCTGTAGGTTTAATCAGTACATAGTGTCTCTCGCCCATCATGTGATCGCCATGTGGTTCATACGCTGCAGATTGCCTTTCAGGAAAGACTTTGTTCAGTACATCACCAAGGTGGGTGATGGGATTGTCGGGCTCATGTGTTTACAGATCGATCTGTTGGTCTTGAGTTGAAGTGTGTTTTTGTGTGATTAGGGTCTCCGTTCAAACGCTCTTCTGCCTTTCGATGACACTCACGAGCAGAGCAGCTTCAGAGCGCGCAGCCATGTTTCTTCAACTACAGCCACTTTAGGTCCCAGGGATTGATTTTTATTCAGACTAATAGATTTCGACTTCTCCTTTTTTGCTATATGAAGGTCACATTAAAACTAGAGATTTTTTTTTATTTATTTTTTTAGCAAGACTTAGTTTTGATACTTTTCAAATGCTTTTTATCAACAACCGATTGGTATCCCTGCTTTTCCTTTTCTGTATGTAGGGACGGTGGGTGGGGCTTGGGCAGTCGGGGGTGGGGCGTTGTCTTGGCGATGCGGGGTGGGCGTGGACATCTGGTTTGGGCTAATTCTGATTGGGCAGGAAAGGGTGCATGCTGGAGGAGGGTTTTGTCGTTTTCTTTCGTATCATTGATGGTGATGTTGACTGCATGCGCTGAGCCTTGAGAGCATCTGTTTTGATTTCAGCCTAACCCCGTTTTGTATTTGCTTTTACCGTGCTTATTGTGCTGTTTGTGATGGTGTTTTTTTTTTCAAATTACTACGGAGCCCCTAAAGGGACATGGTGATGGAAAAAAAGAGACAAGACGAAAAATACTTGAGTGTTTTTGCATTCGCCTGCAGAACTTTTGCATTCACTCGATAAAAACATTGTGTTATATATCAATGGTTATGGTTTGTGTTCCCCCAAGAAACTGCGTTTTATTTCAGTGCTTTCGCGTTTTCTCGCAAAACTTTTACATTCTCTCACAAAAATCTAGCTTTGCTCAAGAAACTTCGCATTCGCTTGCAAAACTTTTACGTTCTCTTGTAAAAGCTGTTGCGTTATCTCAAAAAATTGTTTGCTTGTAAAATTTTTGCGATGAATAATATGAGATTGGAGGAAAAATGATATTTCAGAACGTCTGCGAGAAAAATTTTGCGTCCGCTTGCAAAACTTTTACATTCTCCTGTAAGACATTTGCGTTCACCCAAGAAACATTGCATTATATTTTAGTGTTTTTTGTTTTCCCCAAAACTTTGCATTATATTTCAATACTTTTACGTTCTCTAGAAAAACATTCGCATTCGCCCAATATACTTTGCATTTTCTCGCAAAACTTTTCCATTCTCTTGTAAAAAATCGTTTGCATTATCTCTCGAAACTCTAAAAAATATGCGTTCAATCGTAAAACATTTATGAGGTTGGAGGAAAAATATTTCAATGCTTTTGCGAGCTAACACTAAGTTTCTTGGGATAACACAATACTTTTGCGCGAGAAACATTGCATTCCCACACAAAACTTTCCCTCGCAAATGTTTGCGATCCCCAAAGAAACTTTGCATTATAAGTCAATGCTTTTGCATTCTCTTGCAAATCTTTTGCGTTCCCCCAAGAAACTTTGCATTCTCTTTCAGAACTTTTGCGTTCCTCTGAAAAATTGCAAACAAAAGCACTTGCAAATGCTTTGAAAAATAATATTTTCCCAGCCCATTTTTTCCATCTCCATGTCCCTTTAGGGGCTCCGTACCGCACACAGGAAGCATGCGCAATTGAAAGTATGCATTTACACATTGGAGCGACTAGCTTCTCTGTCTTTGCTGTTTGTTGAATGAGATGGACGGCAGTAATTCAGCTCCCAAACACTAGGGGGCGCACTTGCTCAGTCTGCTGCCTGTCTGAGCCTGTTTTAACCTTCACTTATTCACATCATATTCACACACTCTTTACACATGATCCAGGTACAGTATCCATCCATGTTTTATCATACTGCATTTTGAATCATCGCACAAAAGTCGCACAATAATACGCTGCGAACACGCTGAAAACGTTTCACTGACGCCCTCTTCAAATGCTGTTCCTTCATGGTTCTATTCGCATATTTTCAGAGCTTATACTTACCTGATGTCATTTCATTTTTGTGTAAAACACAGTTGCGCTTTTTCCATACAGCAAAATACATTCTGTTGTTTTCCCCTCATAGCTTTGTTTTCATTTGCATAAATATGTAGCCTGTGCTCCTGAACTCATGAACAAACTGCAGTGTCGCACATAATGCAGGGTACACACTAAAAGATTTTTAAAATCTTATAAGATCTTCAAAATGTGAGAGACCACAAACATGAGGACAAAAAATCCTAGATTTAACCGTTTTGCTCCTATAGTGTGCCGCGATGTTCCCCCCACACATCAGGGTTTCTGATCGTAAATATTCAACATGTTAAATATTTACGATTCGCGATCGGGGCGCCTCCGACGTTCTTCCGAGCAGATTCAGTCACTCTTAACACACCTCACACCACAGGAAAATCTGATAAGATAATCTTTAGAACCATCAAGATAATCGGGACATTACGTAGGATTGTCGGAAGGGGAGAAATCGACCCAAAATCAGCCCGATTATCTTGTGGCGTGTACCCAGCATAACCAGCAGATGGCAGCGTAGCATCAGATGAGATTCTGGCAGAGGGAGACATTTCTAGTAATATTTGCCCTGGAACATCTGTGTTTTATTAACCCAGTGCATCTAATTACCATAAAACCTATTCATCAGTTCAGTGCCTCCAAGTTACAGGATGTTAATGAATAGAGCGTCCGCTATTAGCAAGCACAGGGACTTCATACGGCATATTTGTTTTATTATCTAGTATGTCTGCAAATTACCCTGCCATCGGTTTACTAATTGCCTAAAGTATTTCTGTGCCAAGGGCTTTTGTTTGGGTAATTTCAAGGTTGCTCGTTATGATTTAATGGCATTTTTGGTGACACAAAAGCGATCTAATAATGCCGAACTTGATCTAAATCACAAGCAGTTTGACTCTTCCTGTGTTAAATGAAAATGTACGGCTTCAGTTTTAGGTTTTTAAATGTTTTCGAAATTCATAAAAAGTGAAACTCTTTCAGGGCTCTACGCTTACTTTTCTTTTTAGAAGCACTTGTGCTCCTAACTTAAAAAATTTAGGGTCTACACTTTGCTTATGAAAGGATTCGTGAGATATGTCTGTGATACATTACTCAACGCTGCAAAAACACGTAGAAACCTTTGAAGCTCCCCTGAGCGCAATCACAAGTATGATGATGATCGGGTCAGTCGCACTGGTGCTCCTAAAAAATTTTCATAGTCGCACGCAGTAGTTTTCAGTCGCAAATGCAACTGAAATGGTCGCACTGTAGAGCCCTGTCTTTACATTTTTCCCTCTAAAAAAATCAAATATTAATTGCTTAGTTGCTATCCACTGAAGATTTGTACTGCAGTCACCATTCCACGCATTCATATTCAGCTTAATGCATCAATAGATTAAAATTGCATCGACAAACCGCATCATTTATTATCCTACAGACATCAACAATCATCTGACTGCAGCTAATAGAGATGATTGAGGGCTTGATGTGCATGTGAAGAGCTGGCGAACAGTGAAACGTTTTCTCTGTGTGACACGGCAGTGAAAAGATGTTTATGTTGGAAATTGTGCCTTTTGAAAAAGATCAACTGGTTTAGAGGATATCATAATTTTCATAAAATGGGTTGGTGTTATTATGATCAGCTGTACTGGACGCCCAGGATTCAGAGACTTTATGGACATTTTATGCGGCTGGAAAAATATAACATTCTAAGTTTGATTTTAAATATTTGAAATTTTATGCATTTACCGTGCAAACAGTTATGCAGAATGTTTGTCTATTAAAGCATTGAGGTTGAGGCGTCCGCTTCAGCTGAAGAATTGCTGAATGATCAGATGTAAAGACACAAACTGGGACTTCCTGTCTGTGTGTGTCTGTGTGTGTGTGTCTGTGTGTGTGTCCGTGTCTCTGTGTCTGTGTGTGTCTGTGTGTGTGTCTGTGTGTGTCTGTGTGTGTGTGCCTCTGTGTGTGCGTCTGTGTGTGTGTCTGTGCGTGTCTGTGTGAGTGTGTCTCTGTGAGTGTGTGTGTGGGAGTGTGTCTGTGTGAGTGTGTCTGTGTGAGTGTGTCTGTGTGAGTGTGTCTGTGTGAGTGTGTCTGTGTGAGTGTGTCTGTGTGAGTGTGTCTGTGTGAGTGTGTCTGTGTGAGTGTGTCTGTGTGAGTGTGTCTGTGTGAGTGTGTCTGTGTGAGTGTGTCTGTGTGAGTGTGTCTGTGTGAGTGTGTCTGTGTGAGTGTGTCTGTGTGAGTGTGTCTGTGTGAGTGTGTCTGTGTGAGTGTGTGTCTGTGTGAGTGTGTGTCTGTGGGAGTGTGTCTGTGGGAGTGTGTCTGTGTGAGTGTCTGTGTGAGTGCCTGTGTGTGTGTGTGTCTGTGTGTGTGTGTGTGTCTGTGTGAGTGTGTGTCTCTGTGTGTGTGTCTGTGTGTCTGTGTGAGTGTGTGTCGTCTGTGTGTCTGTGTGAGTGTGTGTCTCTCTGTGTGTGTGTGTGTGTCTGTGTGAGTGTGTGTGTGTGTGTGT